GTTTTTCCTCATAAAACTGTATCTTGGTGTGTGTTAGTTTTTCAATATCATTAGCATCGCAAGATTTGTTTAATTAATGGGCTCGACACACGGGAGTTTACACGTCCGTAATGCACACCCGCCTTCAGAGTCAAGAACCAATCAAATTTTGTGAAGACAAGCGACCTGAGAGCGCGATTCACAACGCTGTGATCGCTATCGCATCCCTTGTGTCGGGTTTCACCCTGGCTGCGATGACAGCCGRMKWTCGCTGTAGTTTGTCGCTGCCCGTGTGTCGAGCCTTTTACTGTTGAACAGTTTGAGTTTTTCTTTTTTTCTCGCCTCACTTTCCTTGTTTTTACTCAGCTGTTAAAACTCAATACAACTTTATAACGATGGTTAAATCCAGGATTCTTTCTTCCACCTGGAGTCCACCGGGACACCTCTAACTCAGGGGGACCCAGAGTGGAGTAAAGTCCGGCCTCTCTGCAGGAAGTTGGTTCTAAAGCTTAAGCTGGGGGTTAAGATGAGCCTGACTTTATCTAGTCAGGATCTTTGAACCTCCTGTACAGGCTCAGACTGACGGGGTTTGGACCACCAAGGTCTCCACCTCAGATTCACGATCCATCAGTTTCTTGTGGTGCCTCCTGTAGGTGGTGGGTCCACAGCAGGGTGGTCCAGGATGTATAGTGAACCATTCCTCACCCAAAAACCAAATGACCACAGGAGACCCTACAGGTTCTGCAGTGCTGGAGACAAAACCCACTGTGGTCCACAGAGGAGCAGAACCATGTCCACATTATGATTTCTTGTTCCAGGTTCCAGTTTTATAATGAATGTTGTGGTTTTCCATTTACGAAATATAGCAAAGCTTTTAGCCCCATTGTATCTCGTTCAGAAATGGAAACTTTACTTCATGTTTTTGTTTCATCTCATTTAGATTACTGTAATGCATTGTARACATGCCTAACTAAAACCTCTCTTAACCGGTTACAGTCTGTGCAGAATGTGGCTGCCAGGCTCCTGACTAGATCTTCTAAGTTTTGTCATGTGACTCCACCGTTAATGCAGTTTCATTGGCTCCCAGTTCATTATCGAGTGAAATTCAAGATTTTGGTTTTGACTTGGCGAGCTCTGCATGGACAGACACCACACTACATTTCTGAACWGTTACATTTTTACACTCCTGTCAGGACTCTGAGGTCTTGTGATAAAGACATGCTGATTGTTCCTAGGACAATATTAAAGACTAAAAGAGACAGAGCTTTTTCATCTGTGGCTCCAAGGCTTTGGAACTCTCCTCCTCTGAATTTAAGATCAGCTGACTCTGTGGACTCTTTTAGAGCTCAGTTAAAAACTTACCTTTTTAAATCTGCATTTGTTTAACTTGCTCTGTTAATTTTAACTTTATTTTATTTTTGTTTGTGTTTTTTGAAGCACTTTGTGARCCCAATCTTGAAATGTGCAATATAAATAAAGTTTTACTTACTTTACTTACTTCTGCAGGACCTGGAGCTGCTCCCAGATGGGGACCTGACCCTGATTGGGGACCGAGGAGCCACGCTCAGTGGGGGACAGAAAGCTCGAGTCAACCTGGCCAGGTCCAAATGAAACCATGAGTTTATCATAACAACCAGAGGAATCATTTCCTGTATTTAGATTGAATGATTAAAAAGACATTTCTGTTTATTTACCAACATTTGATTAGGTTTATGAGGTCAAAGCTCAGATCAGGGGTGAACCCTCCTGCTGCCCTGAGGTCAAAATAAGTTTTTATTGTTTTCCAGGGCCGTGTATCAGGATGCAGACATCTACCTCCTGGATGATCCTCTAAGTGCTGTAGATGCTGAGGTTGGGAGACACCTGTTTGAACAGTGAGTGGACGTTAACCCTTTCAGCCTTCGTGTTTGACTCTGTGAAATGAATGCTCTGCTAAATAAAGATGTTTCAAATTCCACTTCTAACAGCGACGAAAACATCTAAACTAACTAAAGACATCCTGTGAACAAGTCATGATTCACTTCTCTTATTGTTTGATTTATTTCACTGACGGTAAATATATACACTAATTAACACTGATGTTTTTGAGTTATTTCTGCTGGTGACTAATRTGTTTTACCTTTTTATCAGTTTGTAGTGAACTGTAGTAGTACATGGCAGTCATTATTCATCATTTTTAACAACATAATATGTGTTATTTTGTGTCCTTTTTTCATATTTATCTGTTGTGTTTCAGGTTTATGTTGTGTATCTGTTGTGTTTCAGGTTTATTTGTTGTGTATTTTTTGTGTTTCAGGTTTATTTGTTGTGTATCTGTTGTGTTTCAGGTGTATCTGTTGTGTTTGAGGTGTATCTGTTGTGTTTCAGGTTTATGTTGTGTATCTGTTGTGTTTCAAGTTTATTTGTTGTGTATCTGTTGTGTTTCAGGTTTATGTTGTGTATCTGTTGTGTTTCAGGTTTATTTGTTGTGTATTTTTTGTGTTTCAGGTTTATTTGTTGTGTATCTTTTGTGTTTCAGGTTTATTAGTTGTGTATCTGTTGTGTTTCAGGTGTATCTGTTGTGTTTCAGGTGTATCTGTTGTTTTTCAGGTTTATGTTGTGTATCTGTTGTGTTTCAAGT